TCAGTATAGAGATATTATTCTCAATAAGGCCTAAAGGATAATTATTTTCCAGGAATATATTTGTCAGCCATTGCAACTTTTTAGTCAAATGTTTGCCCAATGAAAGCAGGAAACTATTTAAGCTTTTCTTACCATGAGGCCAGATCGCAAAATAGTCATTCATGTATCTAACCAACAATTTAGGGGTCGCTATTGCCTGTTCTAAATACTGTTTTTCAAGTTCGGCCATATAATTGTTCTCTAAGATAGGAGCTAAGCAAGCTCCCATCTGTGTGTCTGTTTATAAAACTTGCCATCAAAGGTAAACTAGCTGATAATCATGGATAAGTTAAGAAGTCTAAGAATGGGAGCTATAATTAACCTTATTTCTTTTATAGTATCTGGATGCTCCTCCAGATTTTATGCTAAAGCTTGAATGGCTCATTGAACAGGAATATTTGTGAACATAGACACAGCATCAGAACTTACTAACCTACCATCCTCTGAAAGTATCTGCTGATCAATCAATTTCACAAATTCATAAAATTGTTTACTGAATATTCCAAAAATTCGCAGACTTTCGTAGTTTTATGAATAAAAATTGTGAGATTTTATGCATCACGCTTACTTTGTTATTTATGATTATTCTAAGAGAGACATCCTTTTTGTGAACCTTGGGGAGACCGTTAGTCGTGGGGCCGTTGCATCTCTCTGGAGTAGTGATTTCATTTTCCAATTCTCCATTTCACTATTATTAACGCATACCTTCAACCTAGTCTAATGTCCTTCTGTTGGATCTCTCAGTAAAGAGCTATACGTATCACTGTTATTAAAATGAACTAGCATATTTTCTATACAACTTGACCTATCTATGACTACCACTTCTCCACCTTTGACGACTTTCATAACACTTAGGCTATTGCCATTTAATGGTACATAAGCCCTATTTAGTACACAAGATTGGTTTGTCGCAATTATTTGGTCAAAATGAGAAATCACTGCCAACTTAATACTATTCTTCACCTCTTCAGACAATCTACCAGATAAGCTAATTAATTCAACAAATATGTTTAGATACGAAGAGAAATTGGGTTTCGATGAATCTCTTGAGATAAAATTGTTAGGAAGACTTTCATTTCGTATGAAATTGAATGAAGAAGAGATTCGTTAGTCGATCTCACCAGGTGAGGACGGATGAATCTCGTTGTACTGTAGCCGTTTGGCTTTTATACAAAACGCAGCCTCGTTTCGAGTGAAAACGTGCTGATTCACTTTAATACGGAATGAAAGTCCCCCTAACTATGTTCAGATAATGGTTTACTTTATTTAGAAGGGCATAATTAAATCCTCTTTCAAGTGAAAGTTGCACACTATCCTTCAGAATTATACTGGATAAATTGATTACCTTATCCTTCCCAAGTTTGTTACAAACATGGTTACTATGACTTACCTTAGGCGCATAGTTTATTGACCTAATTCTAATTCCTATCTTCCTAAGTTTCTTACCATGTATCCGCCTAGTCATTCTATCTGTGTTCTTCTAACCTATCATTCATATTCACACATTCAATACCTCAAAAAGGGATTATCTAAGTCTGGTTTTGTTTCTAATTGGTTCGTGTGACATGTTAATGCTTTCCTTGAGCCTTGCTTTAACCAAACCATACTAGTCTTAACATGATACTTTCACAAGAATGAGTTCCAGCTCTGATGATGTCCATCATATGATGGATGGAAGCTCAGTCCATTTTCACTCGAAGCGAGGGAGGATGTCTCGTGGACTGCGTCAACTTGATCATCTTAGTAAAGCCAAACGGCTGCAGAACAACGGGATTCAGCCTTCATCTTTTGGTAAGATAACCTATGAATCTCTTCTCCATGCACTTTTATACGAACTGAAGGTCTCCCCAATAATGTTACCTCAGGAGAGTCCTCGCAACCCAGTTATTTTTCGTATCTACGATCTATATTGCTCCCGATTTTTTATTTATTTGGCCTCTACTCACCTATCTATCTATATCCATTTATCTATAGATTCTGGACGCTCTCCTGGCTTCGAAAGTTTCCTACCCGCTTGTGCCCTCATCTTTCAGCTGGCAAATGGCACGCCTCTGCGCCTCGACCAGCAGAATGGTCTTCTCAATCACCTTTTACTCTGTCGGCCCGGTGGAACAAATAGTGCCTTCTTGGATGGTCCTTGGCTCGCCTATCAGCTAGCTCGGCTCGCCAACAGATTTGCCCAGCACGGACTTGCTGCCAGGATATACGTTGGCCTTGTCAAGCTTGTTAGTCCTATAGTAACTTAAACTTTTAGATTCTTGTTTGAAATTTATAGTTTGATCTACTTGAAATTAATATTATTATTATTACTATTAAGTAGTGTAGGATTTTCGAATAAGCTAACGCAGGATTTACGAAAAATGTGCATAATGCTTAAGAAAATTCCATGAGCAGGGAGCAGCAAAAAAAGGACGATTAGATCAGGGAAATATTTTAAATTTGAGGAAAAAAGTGGCAAGAAGGCGAAGGAGGAAGAATCTGAAACTAAGAGGAGACATCTACAATTAGCTTAATTAAACCAAGTAGAATAATATAAGTTGTTTGACCTTGTTTTCGCAACATGGTTATATTAGTAGGAAGAATTAGAGGAACGCACCTAGTCCGGAGTCCATTATCTGCATAATCATTTCCAAAGTCGAACAGTGGACGGGGTACATTCCCAAACGTTTTGCCGGTATCTTAGTCGGCATCATCAGTGAGTATCGCCATTCTTAGCACCATACAAAAACTTGTCAAAGAAACAAGTGAAGCCGATCCTTTGACCAAACGTGTGCTTCATTTGTCTCTTTAACGAGTTGTTGTATGGTGCTTAGAATGGTCATACTAACCGACGATGCCGACTAAGATGCCGGCGAAACGTTTGGGAATGTACCACGTCCACGGTTCGACTTTGGAAATGATCATGCAGACAATGGACTCCGGACTAAGTGCGTTCCTCTAAGTCTTCCTACCAATATGACCATGTTGCGAAAACAAGATCAAACAACCAGTATACCACGAAAGGAGACTGCGACCACACAAAAGGCCACACCATCTTGGTCTTCATACCTTCAAGTAGAATAATTATCACATTTGGGATTTGGCACATGAGATTAGGGCATAGGAAAGTCATAGACTTGGTATTATGGAGATAAGTACGAGAGACACTGTGGACATCAGATATAGTTGGCTAATAGTAGGCGGGTTTGATCATATACGTGGTTAATGAAGTAAAGGCCTGACCATGAGATTCACTCTGTGCACATGCAGAACGGTGATAAGGGTTTCTCCTTTAACTTGAAAATGCATATCATGGATACTATAGACTCCGAACAAGCTGCCTTCCTCTAGATCGTTCTGAGAATACGACCGTATTACAAAAATAAGGTCAAGGAACTTCTGTACAACAAAAGTCTGTACAACCGCGATTATATTAAAGGCCACACCATATTGACATTTATACCTTCGATCAAAATAACTTCAAGTTGTAGATTTAAAATAGTCAATTTACTTTTGGTGACTGGCATGAGGTCTTGAAAATATTCAGATTTACCT